CGTGCAATCAGAAATTATTTGTGTTGTCTCTGAAAGTGTGTGCGTTGCAACTCAACAAGTAATTAATGTTGAAAATATCGTGTTTCCTCGCCTGCTGAATGTTCCGCTGCTTGCGCAGAAAACTGATCACGAAACTTAGTTCCCAGCGGAAATTTCAGTCGTCACCGATGGAAACAAATTTTTTCGCAAAACATTTTAGACCACCTATCAACAGAACCAATTTTCGCATAATTCTCTTACTTTACAGTGTCAAAGAAACGATCTCGTGGTTGCTTAGAAACCTTCGAAAAAAAAAAAAAAGCAAAAGAATTTTATTTCATAATTATTAGAATGTGTTTTGTTCAATTTTGTGAGAGATATATCAGTATACAGTATACAAAACTACCATCTTGCGTAGATGGTAGTTTTGGGGGGGTTCGACAAAAATGAAGGTAGCAAAGACGCGAAAATGAGCGGCGGTACTTCCCCAAAGCGGCTGATATTGGTCATTTTTTTTTAGCATGTACCTGCCACCCGCGAGGATCGATGGGAAAAGTTTGCGATCAGAACACGGGTCAGTGTCCGTGCAAAGAAGGAGTGACTGGAAGAGAGTGCGATAAATGTGCAGCGGGTTACGAGACCACAAAGAGCGCCATAGCACCTTGCATCAGTGAGTGTTCTTCGCAAAAAAAAAAAGCTCTCCGTGTTTGGAATATGCTGGAACTAGTTTACGAATGTAATATGCTAGTCTCGCACTGCTCGTTGTAGTAGTACTACTAGTAAAATATTTCCCATAAACACACGGTTTCTTTGCCACGACGCATACAAGAACCCTGACATAGTATCTCCACCCTCCCCCAGGCACAAACGGACACCGGCGTTTTTGAAATCAGGGAAACTTGACTGACGAAAAGGGTGGGGGGAGGGGAGGGGTCTGCAAAGGACAGAGACTGGGCACGGAAAGAAATATACCGGATAGTTTCAGCATGATGAGCTGTCAGGTTTGTAGAAGAGAGATTAATTTCCGCCGTTTTCTTGAGTTTGGTCCTCTAGGAATGCTGGCTCATTTCCCAATCAGTGGTCACTGAATGAACCTATATGGTTAGATTACTTTCAAGCGTTTTTTTTATTATTATTATTTTATTTTTCTTTAATTTTGATATCTAAATTTTATCCTTGACAAAGGTCAACTCGTTGCTACAGACAAGTAAGGGGAGAAATAGGAACAAACTTTTGCACTGTTTAAAAAATGCGTTGACTTCTCATTTTCTTTGTCTGTATTTGCTTCCAGAGCCACCCCACCCAGTGATGTCTATACAACCCGATGAGTCATGTAAGTTTGTGTTTTTCGGGTATGACTTGTAATGAAGGATTCTGAGTCATGTAAGTTTGTGTTTTTCGGGTATGACTTGTAATCAAGGATTCTGAGTCATGTAAGTTTGTGTTTTTCGTAATCAAGAATTCTGAACAAACCAACCGAATCGTTTGGCGTGCGTGATACCCCCGGTGGAATTCTATAAGAACACGAGAAAATATCGTAAATTACGAGCCAACACTAATTTGAATCAAGAGAAGGTCGCATAAGAAAATTCTCTTTGGTGTGAATCAAAGCTGTATCAGTAGAACCATCATCTGAAGATTTATTTTCAATCTTTCGTAGCATGCTTCCATTGCAAGAGAGGCGGTCTTTCAGGAAGGAAGTTCTGTCGGAAAGATTTTGGTAAGTTTTTTTTTTATAGACAGAAGAAGTGAGATAACACTCGAGGTGAACCACAGGCAGTCCAAGCTCACTACTAGCAAAGCGGACGTTACTCTTGCAGTGTTGCGCATCGTTTTATATTTATAAAGGTTTGTATGGGATGTTATCGGTTTGCCTTAAAAGAGAGAAAAAATGTCTTGTTTTGAAATAAAATGGACTTACCTTATTGCCTTGTTGTTTTCTTTGTTGATTACCAGCGCTTCAGGCCATTTTGAAGCGTTTTCGCAGTTGAACACCAATATAGCGCTAACTCGCCGAAAACGCTTCAAAATGGCCTGAGGCGCTGGGCGCTGGTAATCAACAAAGAAAACAACAAGGCAATAAGGTAAGTCCATTTTATTTCAAAACAAGACATTTTTTTCTCACTTTTAAAGCAAACCGATAATATCCCATACAAACCTTTATAAATATAAAACGTTGCGCAACACTGTAAGAGTCACGTCCGCTTTTCTGGTAGTGAGCTTGGGCTGCTTGTGGGTGAACTGGAATTAAGAACATCGTCCCAAAATGCTCCAATTTGCTCCCAAAGGTATTGTTTATTTCAAGGGTTTCCCAACGGAGTGGGGTGGTGTGTGTGTGTGTGTGTGTGTGTGTGTGTGTGTGTGTGTGTGTGTGTGTGTGTTCGTGGGGTTTGGGGGGAAATCACATGGTTTTCAGGGGGAAGGGAGGGACCAGTCGAAGCTAGATCGCTATCAGGGTATAGAGTTGGGACTGCCATCTAATTTCCAGTGAAGGGGATGAAATGGAGAGGGGGCCCATGAAAGACAGGAGGCTTATTAGAAACGTGAAGTTCTTGACGGGTGACTCATGATGAATGGAGCTTATTAGAGACGGAATGAAGGAGAGGTGGGTTTATCTCAGAGGGAAGCAGAGAAGGTCTCTCACGACATATAACAACTGCTTCCTTTCACTGTCGATGTTAGATATAACGCGTCCTTCTCCTCCATCAAAAATCGTTCTGCATATTATCTTGAGTCACCAACACCTTAATCAGGGAAGAGGAATGAATTGCACAGAACCAAATAGGGCATGCTGTCTCAAGGGCTTTACTAACTGATTACAGCACCCTGTCTGAGCTTGTTTTAATAAAAACTTTATAATCTTCGTATCTTACCACATTTATGATTTTTGTTTGTTTGTTTCATTTATTAGCCATGAAAGTCGCTGTTCTTGGAATGGACAGAACATTGCAAGGAGAATGGGTCCGAGTGACCGTCAACGTTATGACACGTTACAAGCGTTCATTGGTCCGTTTGAAATTAGGGAATGAATTCCTTTGGATTCCAAGACGAGACCACAAATGCAAATGTCCCAAGCTCCGTCCCGGCCGGCATTACTTAATAGCAGGCTCAATCAAATCCTCCCGTCAGAGAAGGAAAATCATTGTAGACAACCGCAGCATGGTGGTCACGTGGAATAAGAACATGGAGAGAAGAGTGGAAAAAATAAGGAAGAGGTGTCAAAAACAAACACGGCTTTGAACATCACTGCCATGAAAGCAAGAATTCGAAAATGTAACGAGAAACCAAGGAACCCGGGATGGAGAGGACAAATTAAGAAGAGGTGTCAGAACGAAACACGATTTTGAACAAAGTCGCGATGCAGCAAATCTCGCAAATTTTAGTTGACGCGAGAAAAACTGGTGTGGTAGAAGGAACTGTTGGTTTGTTTAGTATGAGGCACTCGCCAATAAAGCAAGGGTATGAACAGCGGGGAAAGAAAGGACAATTCCAATGGTATCTCGGTAGAATTAAGTTCCTTTTCTACAGGGATGTCTTCAAGTAGCTGACGTTTCCCTAGTGATCAGTAAACTTTGCGACAAATCTTACGTTAGAGGCTCTCAAACAAAGAATATTGCAAAATTGCCTCCGCTCATATCATATCATCTAAATACCGAAAAACACACCCCGCTAAACAATGTGTCAATCTACGAGGCCTTCGTTGTTTTCAAAGATCTTTTGTATTTTTTCAAATATTCTTCCCTTAAAAAAGCTCCAAGATTCCCGAGAAATAACAGCGCACTGTATAATATTCATATTCTATGATTGCCCATCGAGATTATATTAAATAATAGTTAATAATATGTAACGCCAAATCGTTGTGAAATTTATCGGGAAATTAACCTGAAATTCAAATAATATACGTTTAATTGTTCCTAATCGTTGACGTCAATCATTTTTTGAGTTTGTTCCCTTTGCTCAATTCAGAAGCAATTACGTATCAACAGAAAAAAAGCACATCGTTTTAAGAACTCAGTTCACACTGTCGAGCACGAATATAGCCTAGATTATCAGTCGCTGGTCCCGGCTGGGGAAGTTTTACAAAAACCGCCATAGTTTCTAAAAGGACAAGCCTTTAGGAGTCTGAGTGCGTGGAAGGCTGTCTACAAGAGTACCTCTCACTCCCTACAACTTTCGCGCGTAACCACCATCTTTAATAGGGTTGCATGAACAACTTGATTTCCATGACTGAAGAAGCTAACTTTTCTCGATGTGCTAGGTTTCTTCAAGCGGCCACAAGATCTCGCCATAATTTCAGCTTCACAGCCGGTTATCGAACGTTCTTAACCTATCCCGCCTCACACTCCCATTTATAACTCAACGCAAAAGCAGCATAAATCAAGTAGTTTTCATTCGTGTAACCTTTCTGGAGAGCCTGTTATAAGTTAAGAATCTACCATTAAACTGTACAGGAATGTTGCGGAAGAGTGCAAAGGTCCATTACATATTTTCATTTTTTAATCAAAATAGCACTTGCTTTTTATAACCTGTTTATAAAATTTGTTTCCGCTTTCAAGCACTTTTCTAAATACATTGAATATCACGGAAAACTTTACTCGTGAAGCAAAATCTCCAACTGTATTCGGTTTCACGTAATGTTTCACGTTTTCTAGTATAGCATCGGTTACCGATCACTCCGCCGACACGTCAACTAGCCGACAATCAACTCTCCGACACCATTAGTAAACTCGCCGACAGCTTTGGTGGACTCGCCGGCACTATCGTGAGTACCATCATCTTCGCAGCAGGCAGTTTGAAGAAGTGACCATGGATGTGGCGAAGTGACCGGTATGTCGGCGAGGTGACCATAGACGTCTGTGGGCGAGTTGATCAAAGGTTTCGTCAAGTAGTCGGTAAGTTGACATGCTGGCGAAGTGAAGCATTCTAATCTGTTGGTCTCCTTAGTCGGCTCTTTCGCAAGTTCCCTACGCTAACAACTTACTTAAGTTCTGGATATTTCATTATTAAGTCTGTGAAATGGCACTTTCATATTAATTTACAATTTTTTTTAGAAATCTTGTTATTCTTCTACATTTCAAATTCTGACAGTAACTGAATTTTATCCACAATTTTCTTTGTTTGATATTTTCAAGTTAGAAAAATGCTGAAGTTGATCACCTAGCCGTGATTAATTGCTAAAGATAATATACACAATTCTTGCATTCTACATTCCTCCATTCCTGTCTGTTGTATGATTCAAAATCAAGTG